CGCGGAATTGGCAGCAGATGTGATGCGAATGGGCTACGAGCAACAAGGTAGAGATGACTGCGTAGGTGACGCAGCAGTGATAATTGATAAGTGAAGGATGACGCAATAATACCACCGTTTTAGAGTCTGAATTGTCATATGCCTGCTCCGTCCGCTATCGATGCCAATGGTGATTTCAAGCTCCTTGTACGTCTGAATCAAGGTTGCCTTCCAAGCAGCACACCTGATAGTATCCAAGAGGATCAGGTCAGTGCCACGTTAGTGAAAACAGGAGGCAAGTCCACTTGTAAGGTAAGAAAGCTCCGGTTATTGCTGACCGGATACCATGTCAATCAGTGTGGAACGGAAACGTCAAATGTGGATTGCTGAAACAGCAAATACTCATTGAAGGATTGGCCTTGAGCGTAGCCATTTTTTTTACCGCAGAGGGTAGCACAATAGCCAGTAGCAAAGGAGGGCTGGATTTGGGTATACCGTGGATATTTGCAAAAGGAATACTTATCACTATTTCCTGTAGGCATTTATTCCTGGCCGTCATCTGGAGACCACATTTGCGGAACGCTTAATTGTATTAACGGCCTAAACTATGGCCGCTGAAGTGTTTTGAATTTCATGGTACAAATTGGCAGATTCTTTAAGGTAAATTCACCTCCTCGACGGTAGACTTCTAAATCGGGGGAGTTTAGAGGCGGTAAATGTATGAGTCTGTGTCCCTAACGTTAACTGTTGACTGTTACATTTTGGATTACATTGATCACTTGAAATAACTCGGGGATTCTCCAATGTACTTTCCGTGAGAAAAGAGCTCTAAAAGAAGCCATTATTCGGTAGCTAATAGGAGCACGGGTCTCGCAGCTCCTATAATTTATGAGGCTCTGACGCAGTTGATTTGCTTACTTAGTCTAGTTGATTTTATGGCAAGTTATGACATCGTAGATGTCATTCAGTAGATTCGTCAAACGGCGTTGTGTTGGTACTTCGTTTTTCGGTTGCTTAGTCGCACGGCTCTCTAGGGTCGACAAAAAATTGCAGTAAGGAAGGCAACCGCTTGATTTTCTCACCTGGAGTCAGTAGAACAGAGGACGGATTTTGTCATCATCATTTACCATTCAATCTGCTTGATCGGCACAGAGCTTTTTGACTAAGTAAATCAACCAGAACCGATTATATTTACTATTCTCTGGTAAAATGAAGGTCAATTTAGTCTAACTTTAGACCCATCAATATGTGGTCATAAAACTCAATTTCTTACTAATAAAATTCTTTTGTGAAGCAATTTTAAAATCCAACTTGACTGTGTTTAGAAACAAAAGGAGGAGCTACCTCTGGGTCAGGTTCATAAATAGTTCTCAGCTGGGGTCTCCTTCCTCCCTCCATTCACCTTGACAACAGGTTATGGTAGCCAATTTATGCTCGGGTGTGCCACCCACCTACCCCTAAATATCGCCGCATCTTTTCCTGTTTTATGACCGAATTGCTTTATTCAACGCAGTGTACAGATTTTATTGCCATCCTAGGGCAATAATGATAAAGGGGAAGACATTGTTTGAGAGTGTAATTTCGTGGTGTCACGACTAATGGCATGTTCTTCCCGTGGGTAAAATGTAATCATAACAATTTTGAAATAAATGCACCCAGTTTTGTTGTGGCCCTATACTAGTAACTTCTTTCCATTGTATCTATTTATAAAATTCAACCTATTGCCTATAAGTTTCCAAGGTATGATAGATTTAAGCGGATAAGGCTTTGGAAATTCCTCCATCCTTTCGCCCTCCTTTTGGGAGTAGTAGGATTCCGACTGCAGATTCCTCTGGTGACTTCAAATGTAGTGAAAATGTAATGCAGCAATCATGAGAAGCAACAGCTTAAACAGGACTTTTGAATTTGTAAGACCACAAAAGAACACATTTAGGGAGATTCAATTTGAAATCACAGATCCACTTATTCCTCACCTCCTACATCTACACAACTCTCTTATCATTTACGGAAGACCTTCATAAGTTTGGCATTCTGCAGTTTGTCAGTACCATTGAACCTTCCTAGGACATCCTGTCTCCCTTCAGCATAAGTTTAAAGGGGAAAGTTTCTTTGGTACCAAATGTAAGACAATTTTACGGGAATGATTGAGCACACCGTTGACACAGAACTATGCTTTTCTTAGTAGTACGTCAATCAGGCGTTTATGGTCGGGCAGACGTTGCACGTACTGGCTGGATATTTGTTTATGCCAATGCTGGAAGCCGATTTGATAATACTTGTCACTGTTATCAAAATGCTTGGACAATGAGGCGTTCTACTGCCCATTGGCTCATTGGGCAATTATGAAATCATCTTGGAGTCTTCTGTAAACACGTATAGTTGGCAGTATCCGTAGCTTTCGTCTCGACGCAGCCATTCCCGTTGATGACATAGCATTTCGTTCATCACCATTCATCATAACATTACACTCATACATTCGGTACTGCTGTCACTTGTGTCCACACTGGACTGCCCTGATCCACAAGCAACACTTGACCAGGTCAGTGAGAATACTGATTTGGCCTGAAAATCGTCTTCTAGTGTTGTTATATCGTGCTTTCTGTAAGTCAAGATGGCCCTACGTAGAATGTGGATTGAACTACTTCGTCTTTCCTTTTGATTTTGCCCTTTAAACAACTTTTCATAGTATTCTTAAGGCATCACGATCGTGAGATTAATTAACCAGACAAACCCAATCGGCATAGTATTACTATATTCAACGCATACATTCACAAATAAGGAATTGATCAGAAACTAAGTGGTACTCAAGTGAACCGCTGTACACGTCACTGGGTATCCATAAGCCAGAAGTCAACATTATGCAATACCATCTCAACTCTCAACTACCGGTTTCCAGGGTAGATGGGGATTGAGAAACCATGTCTGCTGTTCTAGTTGCTGCTGTTGCATTTGAGCTGTCCCCTCAACCACCACCTGCTGCTGTTGCTGCTGATGGTGATGATAATGATTTTGAGTGTGCTGTACTATGCTAGTAGACCATTCCACAGAGGAGGGATCAAAGACTACTGGATAGGGATTTACTTCTCCCTCCACTCCTCCAGGCGTAGATGCGTCGGTACTTCCGCTATTTTCCGGTACTCCTGTGTATTGTTCAAATCCATCTGTATTGTAAGTAGCACAGGAGCCAGCAAACAGCATTCCCAGATAGGGTTGCTGCTGATGATCCTGCTGAATGTGTTGATGACTCTCCTGTTGAAGGTGTAGGTGATCAAGAAAGTCAACCCCGGTTGAGGTCTGTACTGCAGGTGGACGCCAAGAGTAGGGGTACTGATCATCTGATTGTGGAATCTCTGGGAAGGAACCCTGGGCATGAGAGAATAGCGACGGTTCTAGGAGGGACTGGTCGCTTGACATGAAATATTCCAGCGAAGAGTGTTGCCGTTGTTCGGTTTGGAAAAAGATTTCAGGCTGAACAGCTTCTTCTATGGGTTGAAAGAGAAGTTGCTGGTTCTGTTGATGGAGTAGCAGCGATTCAAGTTCTGAGGCTTGATGATGTTGCTGGTGTTGGTGCTGCTGAAAATCTAAAGAGGAGTCTTGGACTGAAAAAAAAGTAGAACTTTAAGCATACATTCGGGACTAAAAAAAGGTTTTCTCACATTTTATAGGTGTTTGAGCTTTAGCTTTGCCCAACTTGACATGGACAAGTATTCACATTCTCTGCTTAGGCTGATAGACCCCTTGAAGATAGACAATAGGGAGAGGCTGCAGATCCGTCCATTTTCAAGACTGACGCTTACATAATAAGTAATCACACTTTAATTAATTGTGATAGGAGCCCAATCTCAAAAGGAGCATCAAATATTTTTGTAAAAGTTAGTTGGTCAAAATTGTTCTGAAGGCGTTTAGTGGATTATAAAATCCTTTTATAATCATAATGAGATCTCCCATTCTGACTAAATAAAAGCAAAAGAGCTCTAATGACTTTGTTTCTTCATCGGAATCTTCGAATACTAGAGTTGCTTAAATATAACTCCCGATTTTATTACCTAAGTTTGGTGTCTTTAATGTTGCGCACGTCCTTGATCAGGTCGCGGTAGCCGCGGCTTCGCCAATTCTGGTCACAAGCAGTTTAAAACGATGCAAAATAAATGCAGAATGTTTCTTTTCTAAGGAGAATGTTTTTATATGTTTCTACTCTTTGAACAGCAATTGCTAAGATAATCAGTTCTGGAGTGGAAAGTGTAGCATCTCGGCTCTGGTGATCCATCTACCTTCTGGATCCTGTACCAAGCACTTTAAATTATTTCAACATTTTCCGGATAAAATTAAGACAACATTTAAAATATTTGTTGGGCAAGCCGGGAATACGGTGCCCTGACTTACTGAGATGGGTGGGTTCATGTTTGGCTGCCTCGTTTTGAATAGTCGGAGCGATTTTTGTCTAGAGGAAAAGGCAACACAACCAGTAACAAATGATTTTGTAAAACTATTAGGGGGAAAAGTGGGTCGAGGTCGATAAAAACGAAGAAACCTACTCTAAAGTCCTGATCGCCACCTACTGACACAATTTTTGATGGTGTGGACAGGCGAATTTTACGTCGTTGTGACACCGCAGTCACCTCCTCCACCATCGATTTTCCCGATCCAGTAGCAGCGGCGGCAGCAGCAGCACCCGAGCTGAGCGCCTTAGTCGTGGGCTTGACGTGATCGTGACGACCTTTGGCCTGAAAGAAGACTGCTCCGTTGCAGAAGCGCCAAAAATGTGTCACTGGATAGCCGCCGTGGCCCTTGCAGTTCTTTTGCACCAGTCGACCCTTGCATCCGGGAGTTGTGCAACTGCGCACTGTGCAGCAAAGAGAAAATGAAGACTAGGAAAATTAGGGCTCTAATTAGTGTCCACGAAAAGTATTTAAGTCAACTCAAGATTTTTGGTTTTACATGAATGCACGCACTAGTAAGTGGCAAGTATCTTTCATAACTACTTGTAATGGCTGAGCTCGAGTCGGAAGCGGTCCAGTGGAGTCAAGTCCAGAAACAGGCAATCTAAAGGACAGCCAATAGTAATGACGCATGTAGTGGTGGACGAATCCCCATGTCAACAGGATAGAAAGTATCAAGTTCAAAATCACTACCTTTAGCTTTGAACTGGTGAGGAAGGGAAGCAGGCTGTTATAGGATGGTTCAGCGGTACTGACAAATCACCACATGGTAATGCCACGTATGTATGAGTTAAGTACTGTAGATGTAGACGTCGGGGACTCCGTATAACTGTGAATTCTATTTGCACACTTTGAAACGTGCCATTTTATGGCTTTTACAATTCTAAAGTCAAAATTGAATTAGAAACACCATTGCTTTGGTAGGAGAGGAACAAACGCGCCTATCCGGTATCGAATTTTTGTTTCACAACACCTTGGGCGAGGATTTACTTTTGAGGGGTCGTTAATTTATGACACCGACGTGAATTTTAAGCCCAATTTTTGCGAACTGAATCACCTGCTCTTGTTTGTTTGGGTGTGGGTGTGGCACGCACCTCTGGCTTCTTCGATTTGGTCGAATTTGAGAAGGATATCCACAAGTTTCTTATCTTTTCTGTCGTCAGTATTGGACAGTGTTGTTTTTTCTATCCTACTTGTAAAATTGTTTAGTATTTTGCTTTGAGAATTTGGGAGTCATTTAGCAGATCGCAGAGGATAGGAATTTCAATAAGAAGTGACTTCCTTGTCACAAAGAAGAGACTATGTCATTATACTCAACTCATAAAATATTTTGTTCAATCTTCAAACTATAAAAAGAGGTTTTTTGACAATCTTCTAAATAGTGCAATTATATGCGAATGATCAAAAAAATCGTACAATTTCGAGTATCGCCTCTTCACAAAGGCGTGGTAAACTGATCTATAAGCACAAAAAGCGTAGACGAATGACAACCCCAAAAATGCTGTATTTTGAGGCCGATTGTGATATATTC